ATAATAGAAATTAGATTAGATTAATCCTCGTGGGAACGATACTCGAAATTTTACAATTTCCACTTTATTACTTGTCAACGAACCGTACACTTGCGGTGATTTAAATTCGAAACATATTTTCGTGAACAGTGTGCTGGTAAAAAAATGATTGGACGAAAAATTGTTTAATTTTTTAAACGTCCAATAGTGTGTTGACACGTGGCAAATTGTAAAGAATTATATAAATGATAATGTACATGTAATATGATTGTTTTATTATGGTTTTTCTACGTTTGTTTTTATAATACTAGTGTTCGACGTGCGTTGCATGTCTCGATGTCAAGTGTATGTATTGGTAATGATTATGTTGGAATAATTTTTAATCTAAAAACAAAAAATGGAAAAAAGAAATTGGGCTATATATTTTGGACATTCTTTTATATATTTCTTCATGAATGCTCGGGCAGCTATCTTCTGGTCCTCCTCCTGAAAAGAGCAGAATTTAGTCTTGCTAATGACTCTACAAACTTCAGACTAAGCTCCTGATTGGCCCCAAATTTTGGAAACTCTTTTTGTCCCACTCATTTTCAACCACACATTATACGGGATCCACAAGTTTTATTAACTGTTCAACCACGCATTTCATGAACTTTTATCAAGATGTAATCAAAATCTGATTTGTAGTCAAATCAAACAAGGGCTAAATAGAAGCAACATAGTTTTGGTAAATATGAAAATGTGTATTTATGAATACCAGGATAATGTGCTGAATGGAAAAAGTGTATTGAAACATTTACAGGATAAAAAGAATCTCCAATTCTTTGTAATAAGGTGGAATTAAATAACCATTATTGCAAAATGCATTTAACGGATGATATCAATATATAAGTAGTTAAATATAGAAAGCACAAAACATATAATAAGGATTCTTACAAAATAATTCATCTTTAGATCCAACAGGAAATTCCAAAACTATGTTGATTACATCTTTATTGTACAAAATTATCTTTCTCAAGTCAAATATCCTCATCATAGCACACGTATAGATTCTGATGTACAGCTAATGAGTAGTGACAATGTATATTACCTCGATGCTGTCTTTTCCGATCCAACAACACAAGTAGTGATCTTTTTTACGATCATTAGAATGGTAAGTATAGAGGACAACATAGCAATCTCCGCTGAAAAATTTACCAATATCTTCAACGGGACCTGGAGTTTTGGCACTGCCATTGATACGCTAAACCTAGGAAAGTACAATATTCGAAATTAAATTTTTCAACGTAATAAATATAATCGAGCTAACCCCAGAATAACCAGGTAACATGTTAGCAGCGAGACCTCTATTTTTCCGCCTCCTTCAAGCAATGGGGGCACCTCCTCATTCATGGGAGCACTTTTGCTTGCTCCCTTGACGCCAACACCTTGCCGCTTCAACAAAGCCACCAGCAAGCCAGAGACCAGAAAAGATTTGTTCCATTGAGGATACTTGAGCAGGTGTGGTCATCCAAGAAAGCAAATATGATCATCTATTGGCGGCAATGAACTACACTTTCCTTAAATCTGGCTTCCGTTTTATCACATCAAGTACCTATAATGTAGGTCTAAGTTAGAATCAAAAGATTTAGACTAATATCAGCCAATGAGATATTTTTGAAGAAAAGAGCACAAGGAGAATGCAAAGGAGGATCCATAGCCAAAGAAAATCAACCTCCTCAGCCAACCTCTTGCCCATTACATCCACACCATCCAATGTCAGCTTAGCCATATTCCGTTCACTGCCTGCATACCAAATAATAGTATAATACCCCTTAGTAAGGTGAGATAATAAGCCACTTTTAATTGACCGAGAAACACAAAAGATGTTAAATAATGCCTAACATTTTTCCAGATTAAGGGATATCTGAAGTACCAGTATTGAGTACACTAAATAAGTATGAACGCCATCTTATTTTCAAGATAAATGAACATGTAAAAATTAATAAAGCGAAAACACCTTGGCAAATTACGTAATACAGTCTATTACATGTAGCTACCACGTAATCCTTGATAAAAAAAACATGGAACTACACTCATGAATGAACAGTAATTAACCAATCCATGGTCAACTTATAGCCTTCTGAAGCCGCTTAATAGAAAAACGAAGAGAAAAATGTTGTACATGCTTGAGGTTATTCTCTTCCTTAAAATAAAATCAATTATAAAAAAGAGATAAATGACGACACTTTTGAAATTCTAATCTAATGATAAAGAAGATGAAATTGACAATTAGAAGAGGGCAGAATATAATTTACAAATCTTCAGATTGATGACATAAAAATCTAAAGAACCTAACATTACAACTTAAGCCTTGTTTGACAACCATTATTTGAAAACTCTTATTTCTATATACTCGTTTTCAACCACATTCACACAATAAAATGTTCCACATGTAAACTGAAATTTTTTCTTATTTTTTAACCCCACATTCTCCTACAAATTACTATTTAAAACTCTATTTTTTCAAAATATAACGGTTCTCAAACAACCAAACAGGGGCTAAATGTTGCATGTGAAAAAAAATGCACAGAAGAAGTTTGCTTTATGAAATTCAACTGAGTGGAGTGTTTTATTTCAGAAACTCAGCCTATTCATGAATCCAGTGGTCATATTACGTTACAATTAGAAAATTTCTCCAATCATAAGGAACTAAATGAACTCAGTTTCAACTTAAGCGATAAAAAAGAATCACAGACAACAGAGATCAGAAATAGCGGATACATTTTCACTAATAAAATGTAAAACTCACAGTGAACGAAAAATTTATCAGGGAGCTTTAAAACAAACTGCTCGGCAGCGAACGTCCAATCGCTGGCACTGCAACAATGTAACAGATTCAGGAAAACAGGTTATGAGGAAAGGTTTTTGTATCAAATTGGACAGTATATAATAAATATTAGAGAAGCATTAAAGTCCGATAAAAAAATTAGTAAAATCAAAAACCATAATAGATTTTGCAAATCAAATTGTATATGAGAAAACGTATAATGTACGCAAACAGTTAATTCACACTCTCAATTGTGCACAGATACACTGAAAGAAGCTACTAAAAAGAACGGTCTTTATCATGGACATCCCATTTACGTACAATCAAAATCATATAGATTTATATAAACAGAAAATCACCATACAGATAAATAATAGATTTCATATAGTGTTTCTGTTCCACGTTAATTTTTTGCTACAATGTAAAAATAATTGTGATACAGAGTCCATGATTCAATGATGCAACAACAAGTCCATGATTCAATGATGCAACAACGAAGTAAATATAAGGAAGTAGGTACTTGCGGCCCACAGGAAACCATCATTGAACCAAGAAGCAGCTTGAAAGAAGATAGACACTTACAGCTTCAAGTTCCCAAACTTGAAGACTCCACTGGATGACGAAGAACGGCTATTGGAATCTGGGTTCGAACAATGGTTGCACTTCATAGAACACATAACCAGTGTTTGGAAATTATAAACAGAAACAAAGTAAAACACACACTTCACTCTAATTGCACCTTATTTCCATATTTCTCATTGAACCATTGATTGTTACTGGATAACTTAGATTCAATTTCGAACCAAAATTTTGCGATCTTTAAATACTTAGTCAAGACCTAACCTTGTGCAGTCAAGACCTAACCTTGTGCACCTTCAAGTTGTTGCAGAGCATTGACAAAACGTGGATGCAATTCAGGTGACCAGCATCTCCTCTGCTTCTCTGCTGCCTGGCCCTCGAACTCAATTGACAATTAGCTGCAGAAGACGAACCTGATCAACTGCAACTGGATATCGAATTCAAACCACAAGACTCCATATCGTCCCTCGCATTCTTTATTCCAGGTGTACTAAGAGAGACGACTGGTGCTCCACGTAATTCATCCCTATCTTCCTTCCTCACTGTCATCGCTGGAAAATTAGCATACCCCTTGAAATGCATAAAAGCCCTTCCCACTATTGTTTTGTTATTGCTAGACTGAAACAAATCATCTATCAAATTTACGGGCTGATTATTTTCTTCAACTCTCTATTAACCAAAAAACATAAACAAGAACAAATCCATTACAACATATACACAAGAAAATAGATTATAACAGATTATATGAAAACACTGATTTTGTTTCATATCCTTTTATTTGTCTTGTTTTAAGGCTTTCTCGTTGTTACTGAATTCAATATCCGGTCAAGGATTTTGATTATCAAAGTTCCAGGTGCCTTATCGTTGAGCTTACTCCTAACAGAGGCAAGGTCGCTAAATCGGCAGCTACAAATGTCTTTGAGAGAGAGGGAAAGGGAAAGGAAAAAGAAAAAGGTTAGGGCTACATTTCTTTCAAGGGAGGCATGATAAACTTTCAGCTTTTCTAGTCAAAGAAGGTGGCTGTTAATTTCAGATGAACAATAGAAGTTGTCCGAAACACAGCTTACAGATGAACAGTAACCGGTGACGTCGAAGAACGTGACCAGACAAATAAATAAAGGCAGTTTCATTCATAAAAAAAGTTTAGAAGCATGCCTACTGTATAGAGGTTAAATGGAACATACAAGCAAATATGGTCTCTATCTCGGGATCTCTCACCTGCAAATTAGCTTGAGTATTCTCTACAACTTTTGTGACGAAATCCTCATTCTCTAGATTTAGTAGACCAACCTACAGAAATAGGAGTGTGTTAATGAAAACAAATGGGAGAAGTGTATTGTCATCATCGGGAAATCAAAATTCAAAAGTATAAAAATCACCATGCATCAGAAGAAATTAGTTACAAGTGTTAATGTAAAGTCGTACTATTAGCAAACATATGGTAGCATGGTTGACATTCTCCAATGGAAAAAATTACCGCCTAACAAAGGATTTACATTAATTTGAAACAATATGAAATGCTGCTTGGAGAATTGAAAACCTGCTTTAATAGGCATGATTGTGGCATAGGGAAACCCTAGCTCGTTGAAATTATATTAGGCAGAAGTTGAACAGTGTAGCTGTAAAAAAAAGTCCTCTAGTGTGTTATCGATTTGCTGGATTCACACCTCTATGTGTTTTCTCTCTACCACGTGAAAAAGAATCTCGCCCTAATAGATGTATATACCTTTTTATACAGGAGGTTAAGAGGAAATATTTATGTTGCAGGATATGCTTTCTCCCAACATGTGGCATCCACAAGAAAACCAAAGATGCAACTACTTAGCAACCAAGTTTCATTTACCTAAAGATGTTATCAATCCAAAAACTGTGCCAGTAAACAAGTACGATTTAACCAACAAATTATCCAATAGCAGTGCAAGCAAGGGTATGCTCATGTACTGACATGCTCTTAAAAACCCAATCCATGCTCAAAATCATAAGACCAAATGTATTCCAATATCAATCCTAATTAAACATACTGATTTGTAAGCAATGATAAAAAGTGTTTTTACCCAAGAAGATCTTTGTGATATCCACAAATTTAGCTTGAGCACAAAAATCATTTATGGCCTTCACTCTCGTGTTAGCAATTACTGATAAATCCTTCATCAACTGCGAAAATGTAGGACTTCTCTTTGAAGCCTCAACAAGGGTAAGCAGTTCAGATTCGACCTTATCCAATACATTGGCTTTGACTACCACAATGTACAAAGTAGAAGCATAGTTTCCAGGAACACCAGACATTGTTAAGAGAATTGGAAAAGGGTACAGAGAAATGACATAATATCA